AGGATAGTAAATTACACGTTGACTAGAGCTGACAACCGCAATGCGTGCCACACACCGGTGTGCACGGCCCTCTGCACCGAGATGCCGTGTGTTTATGCGGACCGGTAAGTCCGCCGCTGTCATGCCGCCCTGTGAATTATAGATGAGCCGCCTTAATAAAGACACGAGAGATGCCCGAAATTCTCCCTACGTTCCATCGTCCCACGTTCCTTCCAATTGAAAACGGATACCACGTTTCGGAGTCGGACGTTCACTGCCGCACGAAGGGAACGTTCTAACTCTCTTCTGCTACGTTCGTTTTCGTTCGTTCGCTCGAAACGCGGCGGAACTCGGCGGAGAATTCGGAGAAAAACAAGTAATTTAGCGTGGCTGGTGGAAAAGCTGTGACTATGAAATACGCGGTTAATCCCGCGATTAAAGTTTAAAATTTCATTCCCGTGGAACGATACGTTTAACACCCGCTATATACTCCCCCTCCTCCCCCGTGTTTCGCGTGTTACTTCCCATTTAATTGGAAAACATTCTTTCGCAAGAAAGTGGACCCCTTACTTCAGTGAATTCCCTAATTGCTCGCGATGAAATTTTTATGAAACGGCATGCGATTCGTTCACGGGTTAACGCCTCTCTCTCTCTCTCTTTCTCTCTCTCTCTCTCCCTCGACGTTACGTGCCTTTTTCGCGCGCTTTTGCGCCTTCCCCTTTTTTTCTTTTCCTCTCTTTTTCCGAGAAATAAATAACGCGGTGTGTATCGGCCGTAAAGAGGATTTCCAGCAACGCGTGGATCCTTTTCTTTCCTGGAAAAAGCCGCGGCATTTCGAACTCTCGCTCCCCGGTTGCGGTAGTTGTGTGGTCACGATTGGAACAGTGATTGGAGCGTACGCGTGGAATATCGCAGCGGTGAGCACCGGTAGTTACGTATATTAGGGATGGTAAAACTAATGTAAATTTATCTCGAAATTCCGCGGCGGCCTCGTAAACTTGTTTTAAAACTACCCTCGTAAAACGATTTCACTCCTTTTCTCAACGCCCCGTTCGGCGGCGAGACTTTACCCGCCACCGCCTATCACCTCTTAAGTAATTCCACGTTTTACCCTTAAGGTAACGAGTTCGATCGTGAAAACGTGCTCTTGCCTGGATCGTTCGATGCCGACGTTATATCCCCCCTCTCTCTCTCTCTTTCTCGCTATTTTTATAATACTTAGATACGAGGATGGAGTCGTTGAACCGAGGCGGTGGTATAGGCATTCCCTTTACTTTATGAAAACGCGTAAAAAAAAAAGAAAAAGAGAAAGGAGGATATCTCACGGAGGATATCAGCCCCCTTTACACCCTTGTTTATTAACGAAATCAAGGTGGAGATAAAAACCACGGGGTTTTCACGAGCCTCCAACCCCGGGATCGGTTATCGACGAAGGGCCGAAGGAGGTGGAGATTTTCCAGCATACGTGTCGCGGAGGGGTTGGGAAAGGGTGGGGAGGATCGAAGGGGAGGACGAGAATTTAAGGGCAGCCGTATATTATCGCGACGAAGGGGTTGTCTGAGGTTAACTGCCAGAGCTTCGCAAGGGGTGCGGGATTCGGTGTGGCGGTGTTGAGGGGTGGGTTGGAGAGGCGAGGCTGTGCCATGAATATGCCGCCATTAGTCACACGCCGAACTGCGGCGTAGAAAGAGAAGTAGGTGACACGAATTTCCCGGCATTGCGCGCCCTATTGGTATCCCAAGGGTGCCGCGGCAGTAACGCGAACAATTCCTCGTGAATGCGCATTTATCTCGACCAATCTCGCCCACCCTCGTCCCTTTCCGAGGTTCGAGCCCGCGATATACCCAAAAGGCTGATAAAACTTGCCGAATTCGGTCGACGGAGGAAAAGGCAACGAACGTATCGATTTCCTCTCTCTCTCTCTCCTCCGGAAAAAACTTGCATGGCGGTGGTGGTATCAGTCACCCCGCCACCCTCGTCTCTTCATCCAGCCTCCGCCGTTGCCCACTATCGAAACATTCGCCCTCCTAGTGACGCTTCTGTCACGGACAGACCTCGTTACATCTCGAAAGGCCGCGATGAAACTGTTCTAGCTAAATTGTTCCCTGCACACTAACTGTCACTAGCAGGAAGTAGCTTGTATTCTCGTTGCTTACACTCCTCCATTGTTGCCAAATGGTCCTTCCTGTTCAGATAGTTTTCCATTTTTCCCTCCCTCCAGGAAAATAATCGTAAATAATAGTCGAAAATCGTGTCGATGTTGATTTAACGCATTGTAAAATTTTCGAACGATAAATTTTATATGTATTTATATATATATATATTATATGTACAAAGAACAAACGAAGAATCCCTTACAATAGCTCATGAACGATCGTACGAAATATACGGTGTATAAATAATATTTGTACGAAATAAATTATCTTAGATTAAACTATTGGAACTTTACACAACTCGTGCAAACGGAAGAAAATTTTACGAATTATATTATAAAAGAGCACCAAGCACGTTTTTCTTTTTAGCGCAAGTACGATTCGCAATATGTAAGATATACGGGAAAAAAATGCTGACGTAAATTTGATTAGGATAATGCAATTTATCCGATTCATATTCGGTGCCAGAAGTTGGTATCCGGAAATCTGTGCTTTGCGCCAGAAGGTTCGCAATTCGTCCCTCTGATGATATCGTCGACCTTCCCTCTGATTATACGGAAGTTGGTCTCGGTAGGTTTCAGGGTCATATTTATCGTCTTTTGTAACCTGTTCGTGTTGAACCACAATTCTTCCTCGCCCTGATTATTCGTTATTACTTTGATGCCACTCACGTATTGCAACGTTTTCTCGTCTTGCGCGATTATCACCACGTTCTCAGGTGTAAATGATTTCTCTATGTTCCAACAGGCGATCGCCGTTAATTGGACTAATTGGAAAAATATCACGCCTCTTCGCGACGTTGCTTGAACGCCCGCCTGGCTTGCCCTCTTATAATTCGATTCCAACACTGTTGGCTCCTTGTATTTACTTTGCTTCAAAGAGTACGTATCCGTGAACTTTTGCCGATAACTGGCCAACGAATTGAAATAAAGGTACCTGGAAATTACGTGCAACCAACGTGTCGTATACTGATTTTTTTTTTAAGAAAATTACAAATTTTTTTTTTACAAATTAATTTAACAAAGATCAGGAAAAGATAGGTTTGTTTCAAGCTTCGATCGATACCTTTCGTCGAAATATCCATACGGCGACAATGACATTCCAAGAGTACCGTCGGTTAAATCGAACGATTCACCGGCAATCGTGATGTTCATGGCATCCTCGTCCGGGCCGAAAGCATTGCCACGCGTGTTGTTTACTCGCCACGAATAATCGTGATGCAAGTCATAAATCAGCAGGCCATTTTGATCCACATCCGCCACGTATAGATAAGTATCGAGACACGTTTTTCCGACGTCGACGATTGGCGTAACCAATGCTGCCTTCCCGAACAACACTTGATCATCCGGAACCACGTATTTATGGAGCAAATGATCGGTGGCGAGATCGAAGATCAATATTTTCGTGGGGCAAACGGCATTCCCTTGGACACGGCCGGTATCCACAACCCATAAACGGTTGCATTCGTCTATCTGGACAGCAGATTTTCAAATACTTAAACAATTACTGTATAAAAATGCTCGAAGAAAATAAATTGAACTAGTTGTTAAGAAAGTAATACTTCTTCACAGAAATATATTCTTATTTTACAAACGATTCGCTATGCCACTCTCCTCCTTTTGTTCGTGGCAAACAACTGATGAAAAAAATATAAATATACACATTAATACGATACTTTTGTCAAGAGAGTCCATCGAATACAGCATTATCATCGATATTTACCGCCAGCCTATACACAGATATTATGCTGTCACAATTGTAAGGTATGTGCCAGGTCCAATCAGGATACGGGACCAGCAAGGGACCACCGATACCAGAAACTTTCGTCACCAACGACAGGCTAATCGGAACACCTTCCAACCATTGAGGGCTGGTTACGAACACACGGCCATATTTATCGATATCCACATCCTGAGTGAAGGCGTTACCCAACGTTTGGTTTTTTCCCGTCAGATGGACGTTCGGCCACAACCAGTCCAAATATTTCCATTGAAACGCCACCTCCAGCCCCCCCGCCTTCGCGCAATGCAGGAATCCAAGGGTCAGGACGACGAAACTCGTGAAACGCACCATCACGTATCGCGCAAAGAATTGTTCGCGTCACGAGGCCGTGGCATATGGACGAATGTATCTCGATCGCGGCTCGAAGTATACTACGCGCAGAAATATTCTTGACAGTGGCATTACTAGCAGACCGGTTTACTTTCCCTGTTTATAAGTGTGGTTCACCTTGAACTGTGTACGTTTGGGGGGGTCTAATCCGATTTACGATCTCTGCAAAATTGTTTCGATTACAAGTGGAAGTATGCTTCAACAGATAGAGAATATTTAATTAGATCTTTTTCTTAATTAACAATTTTGTAACGTTTAATTGTATTTTATTAAGGCAAACATACGTAAGTGTGCTATAGGATATATATGTATATAAGAATTGCAACGATGCATGAAATAGGATATTTCTCTGTACTATTAAATACGAAATATCGACAAGTTGAATGACGAATAAATCTTTCCTTTTCTAGTAACAGGTCAATAGTTCGACTGATATTATTTTTCGATAAGTAATTTGCTCGTTCGTATTACGAAATATCGTAACCTATGGAAAATACAGAATTTCGTCATCTCTCGTTTTTTTCTGAAAGAAATTCATAATAAAGATAATAAAAACAGAACAATTAATAACACTCGATTACAACAAATACTAAATATAATTATTCTTTTCAACTATACTTACTTAACACGATAATTCTTTCAAGTCGTCGCGATTAATTTTTTTTAAAAAATTATCTAAAACGTGATAATTCCTCCGTCTCTAAAATATTCCGCACATCCAATTCCTCGTTATGAAAATGACATAATTTAAAGAAAATAATCCGCTGTGCTTATAGAACTGAAGAAGCTGAATTAATTCAACAGATCAGGAATAATCAAGGATCTCCGTTTAAATCCTCCTTTTGGAAATGTCAGATGAGCCGATTCTCATTCTCATTTCCGCGAATCGATTTAATCGTTAAAGATGAAATGGGGGATCGGGACGATATGTGTTGCTTTCCCGTGGTTTTTCCACCCAACACAAACACGAGAGTTATCAGAAACTTGTCGATAGCGTACGCGTCGGGACGTCAATAACGAATGCTCACCGAATGTGGTCATGAACACATTAGCCGCTGCGTGATCCGAAACTGGATCAGCTATTTGGAAACGGTACACGTTCAGAGGTAGAATAGAACTTGAACTATTTTCATGTAGAATCGACGATCAGGGAAACGTATTATTAAAAAAAAAAAAAAAAAACGTTTACATTCGAATCCAACATCTTCGTTGTTCGAGGAATCGATTATCAGGCAAATTGTAGAAATTATCGAAAGCTTTTTTTTCTCTTCTTTTATCTCTTTCGTTTAACCTCGTTCCGGATTGCAATTTCTTAATCACCGTCACCCTCCACTCGTTACCAATATCAAATGTAAATGTATCTGTAAATGTATTATGAATATATTTCGAATCGAGAAGATTAAAAATATACTCGTTCGTGCTCGATAGAGGGGAAATAATACGATAAATTCAACAGAGGGAGAAGAGGGGAGGGATATATTTTGGCATCTATTCGATTTAATCAGGATTAAAATTCGTTTTTTTTTATTATCCTCGAGAAACTGGTCTCAAAAATTAATTTAGAAATCTGTTTTAGAATGTCGGAGAAGAGACGTTATTAAATAATTAAAGAAGAATCGGAGAATTTTTAGAATTTTCAAGAAAGATGAAAGCTTCGTAGAAATTATGAAATCAGAATAAAAATAATTCAAAGCTTAGCGCGAGAAGTACGAGGTATTAAATCATAAAATAGTTAAACCATCGTTGAATTAATTTATCTGGAATATATTTTGCTAATATATTTCCACGTCGTATATCTAAATTTCATTGCATCAATCAGTGTCGCCGGTTGATTACTTAATTTTACGTTTCCATAGGGTTATTTTCGCTAAATTGCGCCGTTCCAATGTATTTTTATATTACGATATATAGATATAAGAATTGTTGAAAATCGATCCGAAACATTACGTTTCACTCGCGAAGGAGTTTTAACATAGATATCCATGAAATATTACATAGGTAATAAAAAAAAAAAATAATAAAAAATAAAAAAAAATAAGAACGTAAGATTGAACAATCTTACGTCTCTCGTGGATAATGAAAACCTTGGCACGTCATAACTGTTTTCCAACAGTTACAGTACATAAATAGGAATCACGCAATACGCTCATAATCTCGACGCTTTTCACGGCAGACAACATCTAATTTTTTTCCACCAACCCTTCTCGATTTCGACTATGAATCGTTTTACACCCTTTGCCACATCTGGCCAGCCATAACTGTGTTTGCTAAGGAGAAGTGGAAATCATAAATCACCCGGCTAGTCACGATTAAGCAGAACCAGAAGACAAATGGGTGGTTAATTTCAATTCTAATGCAAAGTGTACAACGAGTATCAATTATATTTGTACGTATAACGAGATATTACCAAGAAGAAATTCGTGTTTTCGTTCGAATCTTTCGTCCATTCGTCACCATCGATTTATCGATTTCTAATAAATATTTCTCCATTTTTTAAATACATCGAACAAATTATATAAACGTATAACTTTATCACTTGAATATTTCATTTATTTTTAAAATATGATGTAATATGATGTAATTGAAAGTTATTTAATTATTAGGAGAATTATATTCAAATATTTGAGTAAAATTTAGAAAAAGAATAAATAATTACGTTACATTACCTTCAAAACTATTCAACTTTTGTCCGACACGTGTTTTAATATATCCAAAAAACAAGCGAAATATTTTAGGTGATAAAATTACGCGAAGCATACGATATATTCGGAGAATTTCATAAGAATAGCGATAATACAGCTCTCTATTCACTCCCATTGATTTAAATTCCCAATAAAAATTCTTCGCCGTTACGCCACACACGAACTCCGATAAAAATTCTTTCTTGAACGAGGTGTAGAAAAAAAGTAATTGACTTTTGAGGTAAATATAAATACAAGTAAAAATATAAAAAATAAAAAAATATGAAATATAAATTGTTTACAACATTCTAATAATCATAAATTATCTACTATTATTTAAAAATGACTATTACAAATATCTTTTACGAATAATCTTTACGAAAGCGAATAAATTCTAAATTTTACGAATATTTAAGCATTTTTTCAATCTTTTATCCACGTTACATTTCTACTATTTTAAAATACGGAGTATTTCTACCTTTAACAGTTATAAATTGAAACTTTAATAATCCTTATCCCTTCGAAGACATATGCCATTCACACTTTCTCTATTTATTAATCGTGGAAAAAAAGGAAGTAGAAGAAGAAGAAGAAGAAGAAAAAAAGATAAAAGCAATTTACAACGATACCGTTTGTTATTCTTCGACATTTCGAACTTCCGAACTGCCATTCTATCAGAAGCTCGCGTGGTACGATTTTATATCGACAACGGAAGGGAGAAAGTCCCGCAAAATGTGTCTCTCTCTCCGGTTGAAACAGTTCTTCTTCTTCTTCTTCTTCTTCTTAAACTGAGTTTGGTAAACCCTCGTACAAGTTGAAGTTCTGACCGTACGGGTGGCGTCGAAGGGGCGTAAGGGCGGAGGCGTCGTAAAAGTTGGACGAAGTCAATTTTGCAGTTGAAGTTGGTAATGCGATTTGTGCCGGAATAAATAGTTCGAGTGGGGGAGCACACAGGGCACCCCTTTCCTTTCGCTACACCTCGTTTCTCTCCGGTGTCTGACCCGTGGACCAATCCACTCGAGTTTGGTGTCATGGGCACGTCTGTTGGACCTACTGAACGTGACAGTCTTACCAAAACAAGTTTTACGTAGTAGCTACGAGACGAAGCAACGAGTGGCATCGTAACGAAATAAGAGACTCATTACTGCCGGAAAATCGCCCGATAGTTGTATTATTTTACCTTCGTCGCTAAAAATAATTAAAACAAAAAATTTCCTTTCAATTATTACATCCAATTAAAAAAAAAAAAAAAAAAGATACAGCCATCAATTAAAACGTTCGTGTAATTTACTCGAAAAATGATTCTGCCAACGTATCGAGATCTTCGAATCGATTAACGACGTCTTACGATTTTCCACGTAATCGTAATCATCGTGAGCGACAAATTGGTAGGAGCTTAAGGCATAATCCAGGCGAAAATGCAATAATAAGGCCACGCTCGCCTGTGAAAAACGATCGTTCGCCGTTTTCAACCCCTCGTTCACCAATGATTCTCTTTTTTTCCCCCCCTCGCTTTTACCATCCTTTTACACCCTCCTGCAAGCGAAACTTTACTGCATTGTAATCCTACAAATGAAAACTTACGCTAATTAAACCGTTAATAGCGGACCGCGCATGTAGGTAACGACCACGGTGGTTACTTAATCCTGAGAAAATGAAACGTTCGGAGTCTGCGTGCGTGTAAACACCGACTTGCACAACGCGTACCGATCCATGACCATTCGTGCGATCGGCAGCATAATGGACGGACGCATTCTATTAATGAATTAATTTTTTCTCTCTTTCGATTCTATCCCCGTATTTCATCCCCTTCCTTGCTTCCTTCGCTCTTTAAAACCAACGTTTCGTTAAATTGCCTCCTTCTCTTCCCCTCCCTCCCGGTCACCCTCCCCCTCCTTCCTCTCTCTCTCTCTCTCTCTCTTTCTCTCT